TTAATATATGGATTGGATGTCTTTTACTGTCCGGTACTGTAGAAATTGTCACCAGACCTTCCAACAAGTTATACTGTCGTAGAATATTCTAGATTTAGGTGCACATTGCCGATCAACCAACTTTTTCCTCGATACTACAGTTTTCTTTTTGTATGTCGATAGTTTGATAGTTTAAAAACATGTCTAGCATCAGTAACAGTGATCAACAAAATTGCACTGAGGGTGGTGATAACAGCGTGTTACTAAGTGGTGTTAAAGGGAATAACATTTTTTCAGAGTTAGAGGCAGATTTCAGTAGGATCGAGACTATATTTGACACACTACTTGCTCGACCTTTAAGCGAAGTATCTTCGAGATTTCCACCAGCAGAGCGTGCAAGGCTATATTTACTATATGCGTATTGTTGCAATAAACTTACTTCCTGTAAGTTTAGAGCTTGATCATTTTCTCCTCCATTTTTCTGTAAAACAAAAGTCGTTCTTATTGAAAAGTGGGAAAATTCCGACTAAAATTTATATACGTATTACTAATAACTAACACGTCAATCGTAGTGTATTTGGAAGTTAATGGCGAGCCCGAAGCTAAAGAGGTCCTTGAACAAGAGGTGTGTAATATTTTATAGCTATGTTGATAGTATGTTTGATAGCACTAACAATTTTGCTTTTAACTTTAGAAACGTGTCCAAGAGAGTTCTAATAGAGTTGAAAATACGATCAACCCACCACAACCCTCATTAACCCTCAACCGTTCTGCTGCTGCACGCTTCATTATGCATTCCTTACCAAAGGAACGTGAAGCAAAGGATGAGGTTCGCGGTACGTTTAAATCATTCCTTTGATCTTTTATATTGATCTTTTTAGTTTTTAATTTTGAAAATGTGCTTCTTCGACAATTGTTTTTTTTTTATATGAACTAGCAACGAGCTCGACGCACGCCCGATTTGATGATTATAGTGAGAGAAGGTTTAGTGGTTCTTCACCTAATGACAGAAGGTTTAGTTCTTCATCTAATGACAGAAGGACTAGTTCTTCGTCTAATGACAGAAGGTTTAATTCTCCATATAATGACAGAAGGTTTAATTCTTCACCTAACGACAGAAGGTATAGTTCAT